TTACCCAGGTAGCAATAACATATTCGTTTCAGAAATGTTTCTTTGAAATGTTATATAATGGTTTTTAAAAACGTTTCTCATTGACTAAAATGTCAATCCCAAAAACGTTAAAAGAAACATTATTTTTTCGACAAAAAACGTTTAAGAAGCTATTAAAAAAAAAAACGGTTTTTTTTATCCACGCGCAAAAAAGATGTATTTTTGATCGTTTCTTAAACGTTTTTGTCGAAAAAATAATGTTTCTCTCAACGTTTTTCGGATTAACATTTTAACCAGCGAGAAACGTTTTTAAGAACCGTTAAAACGTTTCGAAGAGTCTATATATGTATATATATATACACACAGAGTGTTCCATTTTAATTTAGACAACGTAATATCTCGAAAACAATGCAATGTTATAAAAAAAAAATGTTTCAAAAAATGTTTCCTGTTATTATTAGTGTAAAAATTAAAAATTTTTTAAAGACGTGGAAAAAACGTTTCTTGAATTATGGTTTCAAAAACGTTTCTTATTGATGCTTGACGGTTAAAAAACATTAGATACACATAGGAAATGTATATAAAACGAGCATGTGATACCTGGGTATGGTCTGTAAATGTGAATCTCGCGTGTATTTAATTGCAAATAGAAAAACAAAATTAATAATTATAGAATAAGAATTAATCTTACATTAGACAGGATTATAAAGTTTCATTGAAATATGAATAATTCATTCATAATAAAAATATATGAGAATACGTGAAACACGGAACTCTATATTGTAATTAATGTAATTAACGATGAATCAGATATAGAATATTTCCATATAATAGACTAACAATAAGAATTGCCAGGTGGAGATAGGTGACAATAAATCTTATAAACGATTGAAAATAAAACACTTTTTGCGAATTTAATTTTTTTTTAATTTTAAATAAATGATAAAATTTAATTTTTTTTTGTAAACTTACATAGACTTAAATTTACTAATTTTTTTTTTGTAGAGAAGAAAGAGTCATTTGATTTTTTCAAAAACGTTAAAAATACTTGACTTTCTTTAAAGACAATTTTGATCAATTTTGTTTTATATATGAATGAATTATATCTTTGAATCATATTCTTTTGATTATATCTCTAGAATGTGATTATAGAGAAGATTGAAGATATTCAAGTGAAGATATTATTAGGTATGACAGAGAAATCATGAGCTGTCATATTTGTCTATCAATTATTAATGATACTGTATTTCTTAAGAAGCATTACGCTTGTAAAATAATTAAATATAAACATGTGTGAAACAGTTATGTGTATTTTTCTAACATATTGTGAGAGAAAAATTTATGTTTGGGATTTTCCAACAATTAAATAATTTAGTTAAGACTACGGATTATGCATGTATATCCGAATAGTTTGAAGTTTAAATTTTAAAGTTTAAAAATACATTTTTTATAAATTTTACATTTTTTAAACACTTGTGTAGTCTAAATCGTTTGCTCCTTTCTAATCCTTCTAATGGTAAAGTTTAAACTTGAATTTAAATAAAATAATAAACCAAAAATATTAGAAAGGAGCAAATAATCCAGCCTAATTGAGTGTTTAAAAGATGTACTTTTTTCACATATTTTATAGACATTTTTGAGATGTTTTTTGAATACGCATGTTTTTCATAAAAAAAACTGGTTACTTCTAAATAACAGTAAAAGTTAGAGGATGTCAAGCCTAAACGCAAGTTTATTGCTAATTTTACATATTTTGTAGATCGTCCTATTTCTTCGTTACATGTCAATGTTAAATCTTCGACGAGTTATACAATGTTATAAACGTTTCGGTCAATTATTTGATCATTTTTGTATATTTTAGCCCGAAGTTGTCCTAATGTGATATGAATCTCAATTGAGGTCATGCTTTGTGATCTTATTCTTAGACTGCTGATTAAGTACCTGATCGACTGATTGAGGACAACAGTTGTCCTCAACTTAATCGGCAATCTAAGAACAAAATCACGGTCTCAGAGCATGACCTTAATTAGGATTCAGGTATGTAACAAAGAATTAGGACGATCTACAAAATATGTATGTAAAACTAGCAATAAACAACTTGTGTTTAGGCTTGATATCCTCTAACTTTTATTGTTATTTTGATATTTTATCGAGCCTTTATCTACATAAATTGGTTATTTCTGTTTGCACTTTATTATTTTTGTTCCAATTTTTCTTACTGTCAGAATTATTAACTTTTTTCAGAAGTTATTAGAAATTGTTTTTTTATTAAAATTGAGTTATGCTGTAAAAAATATTATAATGGAACCTAAAAAAATGATTTTAAATTTGTTAAGAAATTTTACTTTTTTTATTTGTTAAGAAATTTTACTTTTTTCAGCTTGTATATTTTTATTATATTTATTTATTATTTTTATTATATTTATTTAATTATATTTATGCCTTGTAAAAGTATTTAAAAATTGATACAAATACAAAGCACATTACTATATCAATATTTTTTGAACTGGGAAATATATCTTTATGTTTTATGTAAAATTATGTTTTACATTGTAACGAATTGAACGACTCTCGACAGAGAGCGCTGTAATTGTAGTACATCAGCTGATTTGCCTCGCCTCTATTAGATGCTCTTAGTTTTGCGCGTTCTGCAGCGTTCTGCGTAGAATGATATATCCTGTAAGGAAAGTGTTTGTCAGAGTTACGGGAATAGTTTGTTATCGGAGGCCTTGATTTAATCTCTCATAAATTTGTAAACATTAGGCTGATAAACCGCTCTTTCGCTCATGTGTATATTGGATATGAGTTCCTACCGCGTTCAGTTTTTCATAACGTAACGTATTATGGCGCTGCGACGAAAGTTTAACCTAAGGGACATGTTTCTGACGTAACGTAGTCGGTATTACTGTCTCTGGTTGCCCACCAAATCTCATTAAACGATGAGCGATGCGTATCAAGGGTTTGCTCTTGTTGCTGATCTGCATAGCAGGGAGCAGCATCGTTTTTATTGCTTTCAGCAATCAGCGACCTTCCATACAAACTTTAGTGACAGAAACTCACAAACAGTTACGGAGCTTCCAGGTAAGTGTATTATTTGTCAGTAGTAAATTTTTCTTTACTTATGCTTTCTTGAATTATGCATTGTATTAAACCCAAGATTTTATTTTAAGGAAAATTTAAAAGATGTTGAGGAGAAACGTCTGGTGACAGATTCTAAGTACCTTGCACTGCTTGGTCTGGATGGACAGACAAGCACCACACCGGTCAGTCTCAAGCCACAGAATGTGACGGTTGTGTCGCTCGTAAGGCCTGGAAACGAGCAATACATTTATGGCTTTGTCAGAAACGTCAGCCATTTTTTGCCAAATAATAGTATTATGATTTATAGCGTCGGTTTGAATGAAGATTCTTTACAAAGTATTAGACTTGCTTGTAACTCTACGAGATGTAATGTGATTCACTTTGATCTAAGCCCGTTTCCTGCTCACGTCGAGGATGACACACTGCATGTTTATAGACCTTTAGTTATTCAAGTGAGTAATTTTCTGGATTGCATTTAGATTTCTTTAAAAAGACCTTGCACTGATTTATGTTTTTTTTGTATCACAGACAGCTTTAAATACATTAGGTAGTATAATCTACATGGACTTCAATGTGCGTCTGAACTCTTCAGACATCGCAAAGTATCTTTGTCCAAAATCTGGAATTTTAACTTGGCCTACAAGGCATGCCATTAGTTCTCTAACGCATCCAAAGATGTATGAGTACTTTCATGCTTCTGCTGAGAGTTTTTTCTTTCTCCCACTGATTAGAGCATCACACTTAGTAATTAGCAATTTAAAAGACATTAGGGAAAGAGTAATGCTGCCTTGGGTCCAATGCGCACTGACGAGAGATTGCATTTCTCCCATTGGTAAGTATTGCCAGTTTTACTTGTTAATATAATTTTGTAATTTTTGTATCTCAGTGAGAATATGTCAATTTTCTAACAAACTTTTTGAAATTTTATAGGTGCACAATCGGCGGGCTGTAGGTTTAATAAAAAACCACAGTATCGGTACTCCGGATGTCACGCGTATGACACGTCTGCATTGAATATAGTGCTGGGATTGCATTTTAATTTTGATGATACGTATTACGTGCATAAAGAGCGTGAGACATACTTCAACAAGATCCAGCCCGATGAAATTACCGAGGAGTACCTTATGATTACGCGGCAAAACAACGCCACTGAGACCAATGCTAAGAATTTCATATCGGAGCGTTAAACTTTTTTCGATCTCAATTTATCTTAGGTGATATGTCAAACAAGCACAACTTAATTTAAGATTGTTAAGCTTTGAATTAAATTATAATAAATAGCAGAATGACAAAAAACCTGATTTTTTTCTTTTCAAAAGCACTAAATGCTGTTTTTAAATCCTAAAATTTCTTCTATTTTTTCATTTTTTATAAAATCGATGAATAACTGTATTTTTTATTATAGTTAGGTGAAATGATGATACTACAATTGCAGTCTCTCGTTACATTTATTTATAAGGTACTAAATTGTTTCAACATTTGATGTAACTTATACAATTTATGAATCAGTATAAGTACTTTGTTTTGATGATATGACACACTAATGTTTGAATTTTTTTCAACAGGGCCGCAAGTTTATGTTCTCATGATACAGTTTTTTTACAAGATATCCCTTACTTAGTATATGCAAATAAAATCTAGAACTGAAAATATTTATTTTAAAAAAACATGTAGAAGGGTTATTAAATTTCTTAAGAAATACACTTATTTTATAGTTTACATCGAAAATAATCAATACATAATATTTTTAAACTAAAAATATATGCATTTTAAATCAGGTTTTCTTGCGAATTGTTGTATTTATATCAGCTTGCGTTTTCCTTTTCTGGTCAACCCTGACTTTTCAATACACATTTCAATGAAATGCATGAATATATTATGTAAAGTGTATAATTACGAAATCGGTGCGGGTATTAGCGTCGTACAATTTACATAGTCATAGATTTTTCCTCTTCTTGAAGTCGCTCGATGTCAGACTTGTTCATAAAGTAGTACGAAGGCTGCCGAGATTTCTGAAAGTTAAAAAAAAATTAGCTACTGACTCCCCATCTGTTGCTCGATAAAATCATGTGACTCACCAAATCTTTGATAATGCGTTTCGCACCCGTTTTAATCAATATATTACTTAAAACTTCTACAGATGGTACGCCCATTGCATAATGAAGGGCAGTTCTCTCCAACTGAAACAAGAATATTTTTATGCACTATTAAACACGTCTTTTTTTCTAATCTTAATCACAAAGATTGCCGATAACTGATCTATGTGACGATAATAAGGCATATTTTACAATCACGCGAGAATTACATTACTACATTATAATATAATTTGAAGCGAATCATGATTTATGGAACTGAGCCAATGTTATTTTTAACGTGATTTATTACTTTATAAAAATAATTCATACGTTATCGCCGATGCGTAATGTTTCTGGGTATGTTTTTGCGATGAATCTAACGAGGTCTTCATTTTCTCGAAGCACGGCGATGTGCAAGGCGCATCGGCCGATCGAATTCTTTCCAACAGCCAGTAATTTTCCGCCCCCGTTATTTTTGTTCAACAATTCCTTCACACGGTCCTCTTCATTAGCCCGAATCGCAGCGTGTACCTCCTCACGTTGATTCTATCAATCACATATTGATTGCATTAAGCTGTAACTTACAAAATAATAGTTTGTTGTTATTGCTGATTTTACGCTAACTTACAACGTAGTTAGGGATTGATTGTAAAAATTGCACGGTGGCTTCGTGTCCTCTTTGCGCAGCGATATCAATGATATTTGCTTCGTCGTCTTCAGTGTCTAGAATGTGATCGTAGCCCTCAAGCAAAAGTTCGACTAACTTTTCGGTTTCTCCTACGTATCGAATTGAAATATCGTACAATCCTCTTAATTTTTTATGAATAATTTTTGAAAATGCATTTTTCTTTTTTTTTACCTCTCGCTGCTAGATGAACAACGTAGTGGTCGATCTCTTCAACATTCTCACGAATATTCGCCTGTTCGGCGACATCCCTTGCTGTTCTGTATAGCTCATCTCTAAAGCCTACGTTAACCTGCGTTTCTAGCAGCAGGTGGTATAAGCCATCCTTCGAATAGGAACGAACTGCCGCGAAATGTATCATGTTTTGTCCATGTTCGTCCTAAAAGAATTGCTTATATTTTTATTTGCTATCTTTATTTTATCGCAAGGCTGATAGAAATAAATTGTATTCGAAAAAATTCTGTCTTGTAAAAATTGAAATGCCGCGCATATTTTTATTCACGTACTCTATTAGGATTGCTGAAAGTGGATTCAGGTATATCTGAATCTGGACTCCGGGGGTAACCGGCATCTTCGTCGAAGTGATCGTTCTCCATATTTTCCAAATTTTCCTCTTCGCGATCGGGTATGATAAGAACGTCAGATTCCTGAAATCAGAATGATGAAATTAGTGTGAGGCATTTTCGTACGAAAACTGCGACATTTCTTTGCATTTTATTTTTCTATTGTTTTAATAGAATACATACCTGTTCATTGGCTTTGTTCTTGCTAGCGAAGTTATACAAATACGTCGCGAGATACGTGATAGGATCTTTTGGACGTGCATTAGCGACTTCCGTTAATCCTTTAATTAAGGGATCACCCAATGCTAAAATATATTTTGTTATATTGATTTCTATAAAAATATACATATACAATATATATAAGAGACACGATAATATGCGATATTTACATGATGCTAAATAACGACCTTCTTCCGTGCGAAATATCGGAATATCGACCTCACTGTTGTCATCTGTAAAGTAAATTTGTTAGATTGTTATAAAATACTTAGGAAAGCATTATTGCAGTTAATAATTATATTGAATTTTGAATTAATAATAAATAGCCAGACTGAAATGAAACTTTGTTGAACTAAGCATGCCTGTTATTTAAAATTTTAATATTTATAAATTGTTGATTACTAAAAATAGTTGACTTTATTACATTGCTTTGAAACGCAGTATTTGCAAATTAATTAAATTTAAAGTAATTAACTTTTTTAATTTTTTACTCTAATTTTATCTTTAGGATTTCATTTTATTAATGCAATAATGCTTTTTAATTCTGCAAGAGGTGTGGTTTTATGGAACGCTGTGCGACTGTATAATCACTCGACAAAACGTGACAGAACGCTTAATCGATCTCTTTTTATATACAGACTTAAATTTAAAATGCGAAAGCAGAGACACAAACAGGCGCAACAAATACATTCGATTTGCAAATTGCGGCTTCTTTTGTGAACTCAATTTGAAAAAAGTGCATTAGCGTTTACTTACATAGTATGATGAATAATTACAATCAAGAAATTGTCAGTCAACAGACGTTTAAATGTCAATCTTTTATATGACATATGTCGTTGAAAATAATTTTCTATGAGTTATTACTCTTTTATTATCATATCTTACACGAAGTAAAATAATACTTATAAAAATCTATAAAATATGCATATTTATTAATACATATTTAAGAAAGATACGATTGCACACTTACACGCCTATTGGCTCATTGTTCAGTTAACAAGTTAACAGTTAACAGTTCACATTGCGATATGTCAAGAATAAAAAATGGGTATATAAGTCTCTTTTTTTAGAACGAATAATAACATTGAGTTGGAAAGACATGTGCTTCGCCATTTTTGTTTTGTGTGGATAATAAAAACATCGACTTGTGCATTACATAAATAAAGCTTTTGAGAAGATTTTAATATTTTTGAAGCTTGTGCCACCGATATCGCGTCGAGAATTTATATATATATTCGACTTTACATGAGAATATACTTAAATATAAATGCAAAAAGATATAAATACACGCACCTATAAACACGAAGATATTTGAATAAATAGCAATTAAATTTTTTAAATAATTCTTACAATTGCCAAACACTTATGAATTTTTAATTTATATTTACAGATATTTATTTAATTGCATTTTTTTGCCGAGGAGAATTCATGTAAAATCGTGACTATTACGAGTCATGTTACATTATACACAAATAATTTTTGTAATTTGCCGAATTACCTCAGACAATGAAATTTACAATGCACAATTGTAAGTGAGACATTGTGTAATAATGGTGTCATATACCAATAACGCTGATCATTTACTAACCTAATCAGCAATCCTGCGTTCTCGTCGCCGGTTAATCCGATTAATAGGGCGACTACGACTATGATTTAGCGTAATTTCGTTAAGAGAGACGCCCGAGGTGCACGAGAGAAAACAAAATAACGTATTCACATATCTTTCCAACGCATTTCTCTCTCTTTCTCTCTCTCCCTCTCGCTCATTTATAGCCTAAGGGTTATCTAAAGAATTCAGTCTGTGAAAAAAGTAATTGACGGTCAAATGTTGGCTGATTATTATCACAGATTTCCATGAGTAAGCGTAAGCGTTTCTTATAGAAAGACTTAAGAGAAGGGAAACAACGCAGGCTCTCGAAGGCAATCGACGATTATTGATGTGTCAAATGTAGATAGATGAATCAAGTCGTTGCATAAAATGTTAATGAGTCGAATATTCTTGGTATTACAATTAATAATAAGTTTCATTATAAATCAAATAGAAATCTTCTGTAAATGATGAATCATTTCTTTTGCTTTCTTTTTTTAAATATATATTTAAGTTAAAGTAGAATTTTCGTCATGTAAAATTTTCGAGACAGTAGGTTGATGATCATTTGATGAATTTTTTAAAATATAAGAACTTTTTGTACTTTTCTTTGTAATTTTTTGTCTATTAAACGGAAAGAAGATGAGAGATTTTTCGGATCGTCTTCAAGAGCTTAGAATTTAAAGTTATTGTCTCTCGTAATCGTAGGTATTGTTTCGTTTATGTCTTGACTTTGCCTCTCGACGCGTTTACCCGCTTTCGGAATATACCGGTGATCAGGTTGGCGATCTTCATCGAGTTGTTTAACGACAGTTCCTTCTCCAACGTAATGATGTTGTGCACCGCTTTGGTAAAATCTTGCAGGGTCTGCAGCTCGGTGATCCCCAGTGATTGCTGATTGCTGACCCTCACCATGTCGCTCTTCACAGTGTCGCGTATGCTCAGGCCGCGCACCACGCACAGATGTCGCAGATTATCGGGCGTTTTCGAGAGTTCGGGGAACTTGATGATTAGGCAGAATCTGAGAGTGTTGCCGAGAGCGTGCGGACGCGCGGTCAGGAAGCCTAGCTTCTCGTCTCGCTTGAATTTCAGCTTCTGATCGAGCATCAGCATGAGTTTAGCTACCCTGACGTAAGCGCGGCCTACCAGGCCTGGTCGGTTCTCATTGGTGCGACAAACGATTCGCAGATGATCCTGGATGTTCACCCATACGGCAAGGTCGCCGACGGTGGTGACGTACACGCCGCGTCCGTAGGGCCAGTGCTTGCCATGTAGACGACGATCGTCGTTCGGCTCGTACTCCGTGAGCGGTAATAGTAGACCGGCTGCTGCCAATTGCGCTCGTATTCGGCTAGGTTGTTCTAGAATTTCGTTGAGCGTGAAGTAGGTTCCGGCTTCGTCCTCACTGCTGCCTTCCGCCATTAGATCGCTGATCTCCGGGCTCATTAATTGATTAGTGATCTCCCTTTCGACTTCCTCAAATTGATTGACCGTCAGAGTCAACGGTAGACTGTAGTTGGCTAGGTTTCGGGTGCACTCGATAATGCCGGCTTGAATGAATTTCGTGGTCGCGTCCAAATCGTAGCTCTCGATCGCGGTGACAATCGGTTCGTTCGGTGAGACCTCCTCGCTCTCTTCGTTTATGTTGAAAAAACGCGGTAGCGGATGGTCGAGCAGATCGCCGCTCGCGGTGACGCAGTGCAGCTCGCGGATTAAAGGGTCGAAGAACTCCGTGAAGACAACGTAGCTTTCGAAGTCGGGCGCGACGACGCCGTAACCGTGGTCGTCATCGGCGACGTTGCTGATGGTCGACCTGGCGCTGTTGACGTGCTCACTGCTAGTGCCGTTGCTCGTAACGGTACCGTACCTTTTCAGAGCGGGCCAGATCACGTCAAAGAGATTGTGGTCCATGCGAGTCACACGGTGCTTGATCAAATCGAACACGGGCCGTGTCAGGCAACGAGCGACTAGTGTACCGGCGTTCGGTGTCTTCGGCGTCGACGATCGCCGGTTGCCCGCCAGCAACCGAAAGCAACGCTCCAGCGTGGACAGCATCTCCGGCTCGCTCACGTCCCGCCGGGCGGAGTAGATATCACCTCCGGGAACTGTAGGGGTCTCGACCGAATCGACGGCAGCGATGTTTGAAAGAACAGCCGGGGTTAACAGCCATCGGTGTTGAGCGATAGAGCGAGCAAGCAAATTTCGCGGTAACATTAGTGACGATTTATCGAAGAATGAATATTGAAAATGGACTTTCGATAAAATATTTCACTCCAAAGTTTTGTTTCATAAACAAAACTGCTACATCATACATCTTATAATTTATGATAATGATCCTTTGCGCATCTAATGTTGAAAAGTATTTAGTTTTGCAAAAGATAATTATTATGAGATTAAGAATTTTGTAATTACTGTATGATGTGCCATTATAAAGCGATTTAATCGTTTTATAGTCACATTACTATTTTACAATTATAAAATTCTTAATTTTACGAATTAGATAATGTGCTTAAATACAAAATATTGAATCGACATGTGTAAATGGCGAACTGACACTTCACATTTCAACTCGATAAACGCGCTAAAATGTCAAGTGTTGAATTAATATTTCGTGCTGTCATGAAAATAATCAAACAAAGTGCCAAGTCAATCCACAAAACAAGAAAGTCAGTAAAGGGAAACACTTGTGCGATCAATTAGTTTTTCGATTGGGATTCTTACGCGGCATTTGAGGGATGACCGGATTGCGCTTGTCTAAAAAAGTATAAATCGATCGTAAACAAAATTGTATGTTACAAGAGTAATTGAATTAAAGAAGTTCCGAGGTGTGCGAGGGAAAAAACAGCTAATGGATATTTCACGAAATCGCGACACATAACGTACTCTTGTGCCAAGTGCTGTCGAAGATCTTTACGAAGTTTTGAACAATTCAATCACAATACATGATTCATCGCAATTGTTTTTATACGTTAACGATGATGTTCTAAAATGCCTCAAATGAGGAAATACCTTTGTCGCTCAGCATTTCGTCGGCAAGCTTCTCGCTGGCCCCGAAATCGTTAAGAAGCTTTTTGTGCGACAGGTCGCTTTGATTTTGCTTGTAATAATCCGCCTTTTGCTCGAACTACATGTCAACAGATAATTCTTCGTGGATATTATATTCGTAATAAAATACTTAATGCGTGAAAAATTTTGCAAATGCTTATCAGCATTGAATTAATTCTCTATTTTTATGTATCGTACGATTTTAATTATCACAATTTTTTTTTTAATTTTATTATTTGGTCGAGGATCGCAATTGTTCCGCTTAATTCTAATCATAATTGTGTAATTGCTATGAAAATCGTAAAAAACGTTTTGCTAGCACTCACGTTGTCCTTTACTAAAGGATTCGCGCCTAGATGCAGTAAGAGATTGTAATAATGACCGTTGTCCGCGAGCGTCGCAGCGTAATGTAACGGAGTGCGTCCGTCGACATCGATCGCATGAGCGGTTTCTGGAAACCTCCCAGCTAGATACCTAAATCAGATATAAAATATTCACGGGAATGACGTGAGTTGATAGTGCAGATTTATAGTCTGTCATTTGTAATGGAAGTTATCGTGACGTAGAGTAAATCATGAGTCAATATCGACAACGATCGGCTCGTAATAATTAAGTAGGCATATTATCGAGCAGAATCGCGTGGTTTTCTTATTGGTGAAACACTTTTAAAATCATTGATATTGATTATAAAAAGAATATAGAATTTTTTATTAACTTTGCTTAGATAATTTACAATGCACGAGAAAATTCGAGAAATAGGAATCTAGTTATAATTTTTTATATAATGGGGAATTTGACAAATTAAAATACACACATACACAAATATTATTGATATGTATTATATACGTGTATATTATAATTTTCTAAATGTTTTTTTTTTTTGTATTATTACAAGGTATAAAGTAATCATACAAGAATTCTATTTTGAATTTGGTCATGAATTGTACATCGTCTAAAATGGGTTTTAGCAGCAAAAGAAAAACCGCATTGTACGTAGAAAATGTTAAATACCTGATGATAGCGGTATTGCCAAATACAACTGCTACATGTAACGGCGTTGCGCCGTGGGGTGACGATTCGTCTCGTGCTACTGCAAATTTGCGCCGATCCAGAGCACTTTGTAGATCGCGAAGATTCCCTTCTCGCGCGGCCATATGTACGGCACGAATTTTTCCCTGATATGGCAGAGCGACATGTTATATGCATGTTCCGAATCAATTATGGCGCGATAATGACGTACCATGTAAGCTGGAATGTTGTCGATAAAAGCTTGGAGTTCTGGATTTTCGGACTGTCGTCCGACTAATCGTCGGCCTTCGCCGTTGAGAACCATAGCCGCCAATTGTTCCATATTGCCATTCTCCAGTAGATCGTCCACATCCGAATCCCGGGCGATGCTACCGTCGTTCAGTTCTACCTCCGGCGCTTCTTCGTGTTCACCAACGATCACCTGCTGTCATGTTTAGGTACAAAATCATGCGCGCGGCAGCGAAACTCGCAGACGATCGATAGGAGATATTAATCGCATGTGGGAATCCTGCATGTGAATCGATCGTCTGTTTCATGTCGTGCTTCTACATTGCGTACGCATACAGGATGTTTAAAAAAAAAAAAAAAAAAAGAAGTTTGATGTTGATGAATCGTTTTATGAATCAGTTTTTTGTCAGGGAAACCGTAATCTTTTATTTTATTTTAGTTTATTACAATAAATAGACGATATTATTTTGATTCGAAGAATGTTATTATTGTACACGTAATTATTGTATTACATGATACATAGCTATTACATCATATCGTATCTTAAGAGCGGACATAGACTGAGAAATCCCGGCTTCTTCTTTGTATTATACAAAGAGCAGTGCAGTGCTCGCGGTCAAAACGATTAGGACAGTACCTGCTCTTCGTCTTGCGCAGGATCGTCGACGCCGGAATCACCGGTACTAGGCTCGTTTCTCTCTTCTTGCTCGACGGCGGTCTCTTCGCCTTCGGCGATTTCCTCGAGCTTCGGGGATTCCTCATCAGCTTCGTCCTCGTTAGCGGCGGCCTCGGGCTCGTCTTCCTCGTCTTTCGTTGGCTCTGCGACAGGCCCGATCACTACGTCATCGTCCGAAGATGCCTTCTCCTCGTCCGCTTCCTCTTCGCCCTCCGCCGCCTCTTCCTCTCCATTTTCATTCGTAGCTTCTTCTTCGTTATTTTCCTCATTATTCTCATCCCCGTTTGCTTCATCTTCATTCTGCGCTTCCTCCTCGTCTCCATTCGGGGTCTCCGCCTCCTCCTCGTCTTTCTGCACCACGAAACGTAATCCTTCATATTGTAAACCTGAAATTGCGAATTGACTCCCCCCCTTTTCCCGTCGAGAAAAAAAGACAGATTTCGTTTGACTATTCATTCCGGATGCAACTATGATACTACGTATTAACCGGGATGCCATTCTATGTCCGGCTACGCGTGATCGGTGCACTAAATAATTAATTAATGGTACATTTGGAATATGTGTATCATACAACTATGAATATATCAAACCCAAGCTTGGACAGAATATTGTGCATAATTTGAGTATGATGACAAATATACCTTCGAGCCGTCCGAATCTTTTATCGTGGATTCAGCGCTTCCGAAAGCGCTGTCACTGCTAACTACCTTCTTCATTCCTCGCGCAGCCTGTTTTTCCAAGATCCTCCAGTCCCAATTTTTGGGATTAGTACCACGCGGTGCTTCTGGTATCACTGATAAATTCGACAGGTCCACATCCGATGGGCGATTCTTATAAAACGCGGGCGCTTTTTGTCTCTGATTTATAAATTAAATATTATAGAATATAATTAGAATTTTTTTTATCAAAAATGTTTTTATGTGATATATTTGATTCCTATCCAGAGAGTCGGCAAAAGTACTTACGTTATCAAGTTTACTCTCATCGGCTCCGTTCTCCACCAGGAGGTCGTACATGGCGCCATCGTCCTTAAGTGCAGCTGCATAATGCAATGGAGTCTTCCCTTCGTTATCCTGAGCCAATACCGCTTCAGAATTCCTTTCGAGAATTTCTCGCGCGATGTCCGCGTATCCCAATCCAGCGGCCTTTTGATGCAAAATGTTGTTAAATGAAATTGGCATATTTATATTTTATGAAAAAAAGAACCATTTGATAATTTTGCTTTCTTGTAGTTTGAAAGATTTGAACAATTTTTGAGGACTTACCTTATGTAGAACATTTAGGCCATTGCCATCTTTACCGCATAAAACAATAGGTGAAACGGGTTCTTCTAGTTTCTTTTGTAAACCTTCCAAATCGTTATTAATGACTGCTGTATGGATGTCCTTTATCGTGCTCTGTAGATGTCATAACAAATTTATTTCATCATATTTTGACTATTATAATATTAAAATGTCTTTATTTTTAATATAATTAAACAATTTGAAAATAATTTTATATCATCTGATAAAATACCATAATAAAAGGCACAGCCTCTAGAAATTTTCTGATCCGAGGATTGTTGCTGGTCTCGCATCGAAGTTTAGTTCCATGTCCCTCCCACAGCACCTGCTGCAGTTTCCCAATATCTCTGTTATGTATCCATATTCTAATATTGGAGGGTTTAAAGTCCAGGGCTAAAACATGAAACCAATTTTTTTACGAATACTATTACATGCGAAATCACATCGTTAACTATAAAGTGGATGTGCCGCACGTTATGGAACTTGCATGTATTCGCATACGCGATCAAGCATAGATTATTGCATTTAATATCTTTTTAATTAATTTTATTTAGTTATTAATTAAAGATATAAAGAATAAAATTCTATTTATTTTGAATATTAATATTATTATTAGATAAGCTATTATAGTTCTGTTTTAGACACTGTTGTAATGTAAATGTATTTTTGTTTTACAGGATGAACTTGGCTAGTAAATCGTCACATTTGTTCCGTAATGTAATAAAATGTACTTAATTAATATCGGGAGTGTCGTTAATATCGGGAGTGCCGTAATAGTTTCGTGCGAGTATGAAATGACGTACCCTAGCGAATCGTATAGACGAATGCATTCCAAGTGATACGATAAATATTGGGACACGATCGCGAATTTCTTTCGAAAAGGGCTTTCTTCTCGACTTTGAGCTCGGCTCGAGGGAAGTAAAAATCGGTTTTTATCATGGGATTCCGACTGGGACCTCATGACTAATCGCACCTTACCTTTTTCGGGCTTATGCTTTCTGTTTTGAGATAATCGTGCCCCAATTAAGTGCAGTCGTCTGAAACGTGGACGGAATTCGCACGTTACGTCGCATTGGACAATTCGATTCGCTTGCGACGTCGGGAGTGCCGTTTAAAGTGAGTCGCGCGATTTTCATTTTCGGATACGCTCGCGAGCAATGCGAGCGTTTTTGCGAACGCGCGCGTGTGTGTGTGTGTGTTCCATGAAGAATCAAAAGGAGGTTCAAAAGGACATCGAGCGATGTTGGAATAATTATGCAGTAAGTAATTAATTGTAAAAAATGCAGACGATTTTAAAACAGACGATGGTGGAAAGATTTTGTTTGCGATTTGAGTGCAAAGCTATATGCGTTAAAAATCTTCTATATCCAAAATTTATTTTAAATCCTTGCATTGCTTGGAAATAAAAATGATTAAAAATTTTATGCACCATAAAATGTTTATTTTATAAAAGCTTTTGTATATATATACTTTTCAATATTTTTTATCTATTATTGTCTATTATTTGAAACTTTAATAAATTTAAATTTTTTTTTATGATTGTATGAGTGAGAAACCTTACAAAGCTTGCATATGTAATTAACAAATTTATTTTATATTTGTATCCAAAAATAATTTAGATTTGAATCAAAATTAACAAAATCAAAGAATTCTCGGAAAAAATTTTTTTAAAGATTTAATTGCATAAACACTGTCACCAAAATAATAGATTGATCGTCTTCTATGATTTTTATAATTAGACAGCGAAATTTATTTAATATTTATGTGTGTTATGAATTGTGTATTACTACGAGGATATTAAATATTTGAAATACTCGAGAGAATACTGAGAGAAGTACTGCTCAGTAAATGCCAAATGCTGGCAGAATTAGAGTGAGTGTGTTTCGTATAAAACTACGTCTTACAAAAAATTTTCTTGAAGATTAAATTGAAGTCTATTTGTAGCAAATTTGTCTAATGTGACGTTTGAATTATAATATTCATGCTTCGTAAAAAAGTTGTGCCGTATGGCAAGGATTATTTGCATAATTTAGGTGCATTCGATTTGATACTCTTGGTATTTTGCGACGACATAATATATCTGAATAGTTTTGCCCGCTGTACTCTAGGATTTCTATCGTTAAAAATGAATTTGATCGGGTTCAGTTCGATGTAGCGTCTTCGCTAATAGTTGCATGCACGCTACACCTAATATTTTATATCGTCTTGAATACACGAATGGCGTGCGCAAGCGTCGGTTAATAAATTTTCCAGGAGGCCGAGCGGTTTGCAGGGTCGTCATAATACTGACACATTTCGCGAGTTGCGCATCTACAATATATAGACATTGCGTTAACCTGGGAAACTTGTGATATACAGTCTTGTTTACAACTCTTTAGTTGCCGTGCTTCGGTGTTTCTAATAAATTATTATAGCTGATCGTTCGGTGAGATTTTCTTGAGCATTAAACGAACACGAAAATAATAGGTTGTAACAATCGAATTTCTTTATGATAAAATTATTTAATGAGTAGTTACAAGGCAACAATGTTTTTAACTCTATGACAAATAATAGGTGAATTACATGATATATCTATCCGCTGTGTTTTACACAAAAGATGTAGCGTTAAAAGATGAAAGATTAATTGAATTTATCGTTTGAATTCACGTTATTTGTCCGCATTCTGTGTAAGTAATTTAGCAAATTTCTTATATAATCGCATACGGAGAGGAGACGATTATTGAAATGTGTGTTTGTTGGAAATTGCTTGGACTCTAATTTTCAAGCGCAATTGGTAGCATGCCAATGCGATCGAAGAATGGAGGATGAGTTCTTATCATTGCTAAAATTAGAACTCGGTCTCTTACTCGTTGACGATAGTTCGACCCATGACCTATTTATGTGCAAAGCCATTTAACGAGGAAAAAGTTTTTCACTTTATACGATTATCTTACATTGCAATTTATTACAATTTATTCCACATGTCAGAATCCATGTCCTAATTCAGCGCAATAAATATTTAAGACGCACTAAGACACAAACGAGTAAACGAGTTTCTCGTGTCATCGGAATTGTGTGTTTGCAGCAAGGCAATAAGCTTTGATCTTTTGCGTTAAGATACTGTACAATTTGTACCGGGTATCCGCGGGTAATTCCTCGTTTCACTCGTGTCGTCGTATCGAGCGCAGTTAGCCTTGCCTTACGAATTTATGTGCTATCGATTTTTCACGATCATTAGAAACGGATATGTGGGGTATAAGGCGAGGAATCTATACCCGCAAACGTAGAAAATCGACAAAATTGCTATGATACACCGCAAGGTTGTTCAAGTTATTCGCGACGTTTCTTTCTAATTGTTTTAATAACTCGCTAGCAAACGAGCGGGACATGTAATATTTAGACGTACATAGCTATTAAATATGAATGTGAAAAGTGAGGAGGCGTACTGTAGCATAACTTAACAATATAAGGTACTTTGCAAAGACATATTTTGCTTATCTATTAAAAAAAAAAACATCGTGCATGACGTGAAAGAAAGAAAAATATAATTTTTAAAATAATTTTATGTAAATATTTTAAGTGCAATCTAATGTTTATTTTTTATAAAATGAGAATAACAATACTTACAATCCTTTCCGGTACTTTTTCTTCGTCGAGACATTATTTCCACTTCTGGTAATTCAATTTCCGCGGAGTGTTCTAAGTAGTAAGCGGCCGGATTGCCTCTCTTGTCACAAATGCTAGCGTCACATCCGTTTTCTATGAGAAGATCCCAGATCGCGTCAGGATCTTTACATGCGCAGCAATAGTGCAAAGCTGTTCTCCCTTCCTACGCATAATGGAACGCAAGATACATGAAATATAAATGCTTAATTACAATTGGATTCAAAGTTTCGCTATTTTTATCGACGCAAGAAAGAAGTCAGAATATTGCACGAGAGGGTGTTCTAGGATTGATGTGCAGGGTCAGAACTGTACCTTCGGTCTGCGTGTATCTACTAGCGCAAACCAATGGATGCGAGGAAAGAACAGGTGGTTTACACTTCGTTATTATCAGCGTCACGCGACGCGAAATCGCGATTACAAACGTTGTTGTAAAGAAACCACTCGATTATTCAGGGGCTTCTTCACGAGCGAGTGGGCAAACATTTGCGTTGCGGTGTGGCTTATCACGAAACTGGATCTCGCGAATATTATAAGTTATAAAATATAATATAATCGATCGAAGTTTAGATTCAAGTTTATATTCATTTAGAACTATAAATTAAGATAATCAAGTAGACATTACTTCCGAAATAGAACTCTTTAAGAAAAGTTTGCTAAATAATTTTGCGATCACCAAAATTATCATTAAGCAAGTCCTTCCTTATTGAAGTCGATGTTTAAGACTTTTTAACTAGAACAGTTTGATTGTACATTGAATGCAATTAAACTTTTTGTCATGTATATTCTTTGTCTTTATGGCTTAGACAGCAATCCCGAAAGAAAGCGATGTACCTTATCCTTCTGTTGTGGAGTAATAGGATAATTTTCTATTAGCCAGGCGACGATATCGGGTTGATCATAGTAGACCGCTTTATGTATTAACGGCGTGCCGCAAGGATCCTTTGCGATCGCTAGTTTCTTCTTCGATTCGGATATGATCTTCTGCGTTTCGGCTAACGAGCCGCGCGCAACAGCATCATGTATTTGAGAAATCTTTGTCTAAAATAAACCAGATACTAAATGTTAATTTTTATCAATTTTTTAAAATAAAATTTATGATGTAACGATAATTTTTTAATTTGGCAGAATTTGTTGATTGTTTAAAAATTCTATATAATTAGTGATAATTTTTTTACCAAATAATTCGGGAGTCCCTTCAGGAAGACACGAGTTCTAAGATCGGGCGAATGTTCACCTAACAGGCGCGTACCTCGACCTTCTAACACAACATTTTCGAGTTTCTCAAGTTCGCCACGTTGCAACCAAGCTTTTACGGCCGATGAATTCATTTGAATTTCTGTAACAGAATATTTTCAAAATTCATGATGCATACTATAAGTATCATAATATAAATTGTAAAAGCATCATATTTTTGCTTGCATAACTTGTTTTATAAAATGTGAAATTTGTTATTGAAATTGTACAAAAGCTTCTTAATATACATTCTACAATCCGTAGATCAGCAAATAAATTTCACAGACATTTCGTCGTTGATGGCTCTCTTTCGTTATTGATTCGCATGTTCTACAGCATTCGAACGTTTCCGCTTGCATATTCAACATGCTATATGAATAATCGGCGGGTTATGTGGAAAATAATAGTGATATTCATGACACGCGAAAGCTAATATTTGTTGGAAGTCCGCGTAAAGAATGACTAAATGTTTTTATTTCATGTGAACTTTTTTGAATAATATAATATACATATCTAATAAGTGATTCGTTAAAAGTTTCTCTGTATAATTATCTGCTCAATTATGCAAATTATTCTTGTTAACACTTCGTGAAAAATATCGTATTGCGCTGTCATGTGGTTTCAGCAATTATATTGCGGTAAGGATATAAAAACCTGCTGTCTAGTTAAAATTCCATTAGCATGTGCACTATCGTGCTAGATCTCCCGGCGATTTATTTAATACCCGTAAGCGATGTGTGCCTAATTAATCTGGAATATACTCCGATCTTTCCTCTTGTGAGAACAATCGGTGAATTCCCTGTTTCTGTCTATGTATTACGTGAATGGAATCCGTTAAAATGCAAATCTATTATAAATAGTGTACAATGACTTTTTTATTTATATTAGCACACGTATTTATCACTAAACATTCTCTAAATATATTTTTTTATTAATTGGGATATTGTTAAAAAATATTATTTATTTATTTTTTTTAATGAGCACAATACATTTAAAAAAAATATAAATTTACTTTTTACTTATGTTAATTTGTAATCACGTATCATTCTTATTGCATAAGTATATTACAATTATAAATTTTGAGTCCATCAGAAAATAAATTAATAAATTTTTAGAATTACAGTATCTATTCAGTTTTGTGAAATATGGCAAGGTTAGCATTAAATAATAAGTAAAGCTTTTCGTGTACGGTTTCATGAGTTTTTAACAATATGAATTTCCACGTGTGTTGTAGGAAAACGTTATGTTAATTAGTGTATAACGAAGTCATATTATTTATTTGAAACATAAGATACTTGGGCATTTATTTTTTAAGCTTAAACAAGCAATGAGCAAATAAACAAAAATTAAATTGTCATATGTGTTTTCCAGATTTAAATTGTAATTATTGTAAACGCAATCAATATAATATTGTAATTATACCTTTTTACACGAAATTTAATATTATGCAGAAACATTATGCAAAACATTATGCAAATTTTCAGTAATCAAAAATTTTTGTTGCATACTTTTTTATATTTTTCAATAAATTCAAAGTGTAAACAGGTTTTTGAAATAAAATTTATGTATTAGATTTTCTGCAAATAAATTAAATAAATGTTTTTTTTTATATCTGCAGGCACGTGTAAAATACACGTGTTTTTTATTTTGACAAAAAATTTTAATAAAAACATATATACATAAAATAAAAAAATGGAATCAGATCTGTCGCGAGATCTATATCCACGCAGTGATTTATCCGGCAATGCATCGAAAGAAAAAAAAATACCTGAATGGCCGTGCTTCACTCTGTAATCGGCATTTGTGTACGTCGATTAACTGGATCATGCAGGTCGATTAATGTGCTCGGCAACGCGTTATGAAATTGTTCGCGTTTGTACGCGAACCGCCGGTGTCAGACGTAAAATATGACACACGGGCGTCGCGACGTGCGACACGAGGAAGCGTCGCGTCTCGAATGAAGCCGACGTTCGGCGTCACGACGCCACCTGTGAACCTGTTTTTCACGAACGATAGCCGATTCTGGAGCATTTTTACGAAAGAAGATTCTCTACGTACGAGTCGTGTCCAGTTCGGGCAGATAAATAAGAAATTAGGATCAATCAAGAATTCATGTTAGAGCTCTGACAGTCACAGCGATTTCTTCCGGAACTGCACTACTTTATGCGGGAATAACCGCGTTCGATCGACACATGAAATGGAATAAGTAATGCGCAGCGTGTTTATCTTCACATTGCTTGTGCGTCAATAACCGTTGAATAGCGTGTTATAGCGCGTTTTATATTAGGTTAGGAATAGATCATTTTGGAAAAATTGTGAATATTTTATCAAATGGAATCTTTTCTTGTCTATCGCACTATATCTTCATCTTGTTTCTTAAAAATCGGTTTATTACATTTGTTTTTTTTTTTTGAATGAGAAAACATTTTAAAAAAGGTCAAATAGTTATTAATGTTAGCGTGAAGGTTATCGCGGACATGCTTAGACAAGCTACTACGTGATGAACTGCTAATGAAATGGAGTGATACCATTAAATAGATGATATGCACTGACATTATTAAAACAGAATAGTGAATTCAACAGTATAGATATTCTTTTGATAATTAAAATATCTTTTTACGTGGAAATGCGCCGTTATAAGTATATAATTATAGCTAAATGGATGCGTGCCGTATTTAATAATAAAAAAAAACAACTAATAGTACACAATATTTAAAAATGAAGGAGAGAAATAACAAAAGTAAATTGAAAGGAAAAATGCTTTTTCTTAGTGACGCGACATTCAATACTAATATAATTTCGATCGATATTTTCCTGAAAAGAAACTTTTTAAAAGATGACTCCTATCTCTTGTTCATCGACGCTGTCGCGGCGGCCCTGACACATACGATCGATTAAAGAAACGTATAACGACTATTCAGCTAATATTTTTATTCTATTTTGTTCTAATTTGATGCTTTCTATTTATTTATTCAATAATATTACTTTTATTTATTTACTTTGCATTGTGGTGCCACAATCGATGTTAGTGGGTAACGGTGCAATGACACATTGATCATGCAGCTTATAGATATGCATCGTGTGAACATTTCTACTGATTTTACTGTTGAAATGTATATAATAAATTGCAACAAAAATAATTTAAAGATTTGAAATGTGATAAAAAACAATAGAATCAGTGCATTAATTTGCGTGCATTATTTTAATACGATAAAGATGTCTTAAAATTAAAAATTTGCGATGATTAAATTACATCTAGAAGACAAGACAATATGTCATACAAGACAAATATTATTTGAACATCTAATTAATCTGAAATTTTAATAATCACTTTTTTGAGCAGAGCTCTCCACGGGATTCGCCAAGAAATAAGACAATATCAAAGTCGCCTTTATACTTCTTTCTTACGGATAAGAACGTTGCATTATTTAAGTAGCTCCATTCTCAGTTTTTTCAAGTTGCGTAGACGATCAATAGTACTCTGATTCACTGCTGTATTGAAAGTGTCTTCCTGATTCATCGTATTACATAAGTTACTTTTTATCTTAAGAAACGAAGCAAACACGTTTGAGAACTACGAGTCGCTCTGTAAGACTGACGATGCATAGTTTTCCACGTGTCCTATTCGCCTAAGTTCTATATTATTTACGAGGAGTATAGCTGGAAAAGTAGCTTTGGTGCCATAAGGCCGCCATTGGAAGCAACAATCAGACTTCTTAATGGTCAATTTGGTTGACCGAATATTTATATTTCTGTTCAAAAATTCGCTGAGAAGCTAAAATATCGATCTGCGTGGATTACACAGGCCTGCGAAATTAAGGGTCCTAAAAGATACAAAAAGCAGAGTAGTGATTTCCTAAGTAATTTTGGTCGCTGAATCCGAATCCGTCAGCAAAAAATGTCCATTACGTCAGGTTTTTGAGAAAAATGGGGTAATATGGGCTAAAAACAGTGATTTTTGCCATTTTCAAGGCGTTATTATGGCTGACTCAAATAAATTTTTAACATTCTGTCTGCGGCATCTTAAAGCGCCATATTTTGTCTTTAAATTGCTTTTTTTTTATTTCTGTACGATTTTTTTTCGCCGAGTTATGAAGGTTTGAAGATGGCTTTTCGAACTTTTCGATGATGAGACTATGCACTGCCGAAATGGTGAAAAATCGACAATTCGGTAAATTATAATTATATTAATATTATATATTTAAAAAATTTTTTTAATATTTACTTTATAATTCACCGAATTGTCGATTTTTTATCATTTCGGCAGTGCATAGTCTCATCATCGAAAAGTTTCCATCTTCAAACCTTCATAACTCGGCGAAAAAAAATACAAGAATAAAAAAATCGTAATTTGAAGACAAAATATGGCGCTTTAAGATGTCAGACAGAAGGCAGACAGAATGTTAAAAATTTATTTGAGTCAGCCATAATAACGCCTTGAAAATGACAAAAACCACTGTTTTTGGCTCATATTACCTTATTTTTCTCAAAAACCTGGCGTGATGGACATTTTTTGCTGACGGATTCGGATTCAGCGACCAAAATTACGTAGGAAATCACTATTCTGCTTTTTGTATCTGAATCTCGCAGGTCTGTGTTATTTAAGATGCCGTAATATAAGATGTATAGACAAAGCAATAAAGCAAATATAATTATATGATTTTAATGATAATCTATTTCTGATATGACAGGATATTATGAAATAATCAATTCTATTTATATACGTTAAAACATACATTAGACAAACGTGTTGTAATTATTGTGCTGTTTAAGAAAAAGTTCTGCAATTAATTTCATATGACATGATCACGTAACATTATGTAATATATGAATTATTTACATAAAAAAATAACATATGTATGTGCATATGAGTGCTGTGTACAGCAATTTCTTTTCTATTTATTATAATTATACTCAGATGTAATTGAATAAAGTTGTCAAAGAGCTTTGTTAGCAAATTTCGATCACTTTGGTATAATATGAGTCAGCTTTTAAAATAGAACAAGAGATCGTTTGACGACAAATTGTACATAATAAAGTGTCCACAAGACAGTAGTTAAAAAAGTACAGCATTACAGCCCGAAACGGTCACTGTCACGCGTTTTCTTGCCGCGCGTTGATGTTTTGATTAATAGTTGTGTCACCGAAACATGAAGACCAAGATGTTTGCATCGATTTATGTGTTTTTCCTCTTTGCCGTGGTTTTTGCCACCGTAAGTAATTTTAATAAGCAAATATAACTTTATGATTTTAATGATAATTTATTTCTGATCAGACACGAATATATTACGAAAAAATCATTCTATTTAAATATGTTAAAACATACATTAGACAAAAGTGTTGTAATTATTGTGCTGCTTAAGAACAAGTTTTGCAATTAATTTCATACGATATGATTGCGTGATTGAACACGCAATATTATGTAATATATGAACAATTTACATAAAATAGTAACATATGTATGTAAGTGTGTGTGCTGTGTACAGCAATTCTTTTTCTATTTATTATAATTAGATTTTAACAATTTATATATTATTGGTGCAAGAAGATTTATTTCTAGTGATTAAATTCTGTAAGTGTTAAATATCGTTTGAATGTTTAATGCTTAGTCATTTGATGTTAGGCTGAGATTTTCTTCTGAACCGATAGGACGGATCTGACATGCGACGGATTTGAAACTGCTTTTCATAACGAGTTCCTCTCTGCATATTCCATGGAATACCGGTGTCTACGATGACGATCTTTCTCCACATTTCTTTCTTAGAGATTTTTCTAGAGACGTTTGGAATAAGTATACCTATGTTTCCTTTGCAGATACCGTGACACAGACATATAGCATTGAACGCGAAAATAATTTGCAAACGATTTGCATTCGATTTGCATTCTTTCTATCATATTAAAATTCAGGAGTTCCTTGATAATAAAGACAATGAATTTGTCACTGCCTTTGGTTATTTAAATTCTGGTATTTCTTACGGAACGAAAGTATGCATACAAGAGTTAAATTAGAAATTTAGGACATATATTCCGCTAGAGGTGCGTAATCATGTCCGTCACATTATATTTTAGGCCTGATAGTGATATCTCTATTTATCGCATATTTGCGTATATTGAATATTTATTCTGACTTAGATAAGACATTTAATTGATGGTGGAAGGGAAGACGTCAAATTTCTTCCCGATTTCTCGAGATTGGCAATTTGCGTGAGGAACTTGGAAGATATGAAAGATACCTATTTCGTTAATTGACGTGTTACTATTTATGTATAATAATTAGATGAAAATTATGTATATAATTGTCAATTAGCAATTATATTAAATTATTATTTTATAAGTGATGTAGCAGACAAGACATAGTGACAAGCATGTTAGTGTGACTGTGATATAGAATTAAATCATCTTTTACACAAAGATTGCTTGGTTTATTTCTCTAAAAACAGAATATAAAATGAACAAACTCAGTAAATAATAATTATTATTATATTATTAATAAATAATTAATAATAATTATTATTATATTATTATATTATTAGTAAATAATAATAATAATTATTATTATTATTATTATTATTATATAATTATTATTATATATTATTATTATATCCGAATAATAATTATTATTCGGATTGCGACCAATGAGGCCACGATTGAATCATTGTATAAAGACTATTTCCGGGACATGCGGTTTGCCAGGTTTGCCTATGTCCAAGAAGCTTGTAGTCACTCTTTATTTGTCCGTTCTGTACTCCATGAGTGATCAAATTAGTTACGGCGTCAACTGCTGCTCTGTTTGGTGTTCGATCTATCGATTGAACAAATACATTAGAGAAATACATTGAAAAATATACGAACGCCCTGCTAACAAGTGTAAATTATTCCTTATATTGCTTACTGCTATAGTCTCCGATAATGCAAATTCCAATGCTCTTGCTGTTAAAAGGTATAGAATGAGCGCCTCTCTTGTCCCAGCCGCGACCTTCATAAACGTTTCCGTCTTCGCCCACTAAGAAGTTATAGCCAATATCGGCCCATTGTTTACTGTCCATATGATAAGTCTTGAAACAAAATTAATAATTATTACGAAACGCAGATCCATGAAATTTATTGAAACATAAAATAAAAAAAAAAGTAGAAACAGGTCTATCTCATTAACAGAAGACACATCTGTTTTGTCCTGAAATATTGCTTGGTCGTTTCGGTGCGAAGAATTAAATGTTAAAAGATCTGCTATTTAGAAAAAAATAAATCTTCCGAAATTGATTACCTGGAATCCCTTCACTTTTTGCTTACACGCAGTTTGAGTTTCGCAACTGCTGCTAGTGGAATGATGAATGATCACGTATGGCGCTGGTTTTAATCTGAGATTAGGAGCTTGTGATTTAGGTGCTCTAGCACCCCATTGTGCCCTAGAGATGATATTTGGAGCAGCTGAAAAAAGATATTCAAGATAATAATTAATTGTACTTAATCATTTGCGTAAATTCTCATAACACGAAGTTTGGATTAAATAACAAATTGATTTAAAATTTAAATTTTTAGAAGATTTTTGAATGACAAACATTTCAAACACCTTATTTTTCAGATTTAGAGGATAAAAGTCGAGAATTATGAGTTCACGTGCTATTTATATGTCTATTTTTACGTGAACAGAATATTTTACATTTTACCCAGCTGTTTCATCAGACGCGTGTTGAATATCAAAGATTATCAAGGATGTAGTTATATACAATTGAGATAGTAAAATTCATCTGATTTTTACTTGTGATAAAAAAATTGGAATTTATGAGACTACTTATAAAAAAGAAAAGAGTAAAAATATTTCTTACTTGCAAATCTAATTACTTTTTTTATAGTTAACACGTCGTAGTTAGAGAAACAATCATTAAAAAAACAAGCATTTAAGATGCAAATAATGTTATTACATCGATGCAACAGCAATTATATCGGGAATTCTTGCTAATCACTGGGTATTTATAATTTGCAATAATTTATCACGTCGATAAATATATTTGTGCAAATAATCGTAACTACTACGTTATTAATTAAAGAGTCGACAGTCATTAGCGTGAGGCTCGCAAACTAATGACAATTTTAATTAATGAAGAAAATGTTCAAAGAACGCCATGAGTTAAAAGTTTAATCATTTATCAATACTATATTACAATAATATTCCGATGCTTTAGCATAATGTTTTGAAATTACTGAGGCTATCGTTATGTAAAATATTAATTGTTTTCGAAAGTAAGAATAAAAATTCTATCAAGTCTAGAAAATATTCTTTCAGAATAACAATTTTTTGCGCTACTGTAAAAAATATTTTTAAAAATATTTTTTAGTATTCTTGCAGTATTGACGCAAGATAAAGTTCATGATATAAATAATGCGATTGAATTACCGGCTGCAGTCTCCCGGGTGACGAGCGTTACGTACACCGCCGCGAAGATCAATGTCGTCGTTTTCACGATATACATTTTGTCTTGTAAAAGACGATACTGACTCGATTACGCTGGTGCACAATATATAAATCCTCCCAATTAAAAATATTCACTGAAGCATGATCTCTGACTTAGCTGATAGCAGCATACGTGTGCGTATGTCTGTTACACGTACATTAGTAGTTTTCTCTCAATTGGACTTCCCTATAAATTTTTAACTAATCTTATTTGTTTTGTGAATAAGAAAGAGAACAAGTTAACGAGAATTAATGGAAGTTAAGGGGAATAACATTGATAGTATTGCTTAAATCATATTATTGGAATGTCGATTTATGTTTTATTGCTTTAGCTAATTAGACTATTTACTTTACAGATAAAAAAAGTTAGAAGTAGATCAACGTCAATAAAATTGTATAAATAGTGTAATTGGAATATTTATTATCTTTTATTAGAAAATTGTTTATTATAATTCTATATATTGTACATATATTTAGTCTTAAAATAATTCTTTTATTAATAAATTGGAATAATGTATAATGGACATTTTAATTATTGGACATAAGTGTAATAGAGTTATCTAAATTTATTATAATTTGGAAATTTAATACAAAATAAAATAATTTACAATACATTTTGTTAAATGTATTTATTTTATCATCAACTGGGCACAAATACACTGTCATATTTATATATATAGATAGATAGATAGAATAAGCCTATCACTAGTTTTATCACATATGTGTAATCAATAATGTAAAATGGTATGTAGATTTAAATATATAATTAGTATATTTAAAATGATAAATAGGAGAGACGGTAATTATTAGCGATACCGCTAATTATTTGTACTGTTTAAGAGGAACAGACTTTTTCAGAAACATTAACGAGTCGGTCGTATGTGTACTATCAATCATCTGACGTGTGCAAAGTCAATATCGATAAATACGCATCAGCGTTTTTGCGCTTGAAAAATCGAAGTTTTGATTGTAAACAGTAAGAGTTTCGAGTGTGAACAGCGAAATGTGTTAGAAATCTATAGTTCGATTCTTATCTCTCCTTATCCTTTTGAATTTTGTTTGAAAAACATTACTTGGAAATAAAGCTGCAAATTATTTTACATTATGCACGATATCTATTATCTTATCGAATTGTCCGATGATGTGTTTAACAAATTTTACGGGCATCCCCGTAGATACTCAATCTTTATAATTTATTAACAATATGATATCTTGTTTTTTTTCAGATTTGCCACTTAAAAATATTTGGGCAGCTCGTCGTTTCTACGATAGAGAGATTAAAAGAGAGCACAGGTCAGTTTTTTAAACATGCATGTACAACTTTACAATTATTGAGAAATAATTTCTCGATATTTTAATCAAAAAATGAATCTTTCTAAACAACATAAATGTTATTCTGTCATTTATATTATCAGTATCAGTTTGTTGATTCAATCGTTTTAATGTCTATAAAATCCAGATGTAATTTGCATGTCGCTTGCATGATGGAAGACATGCATGAATCTTATCGGAGTAATTCGTACGAAATTACGTCAGAGAAAACCTTGTAGCGCTGCAATATTTTAATTAGTATTATCGCTAATTAAGTCCAAAGACCGTGACCTTAGGACATATACTATTGTAGTATAAACATATATGTATTATTGAGCATGGCCACATACGTAAAGTATGATTCACACGCGACTGACACGAGCGTGACATTGACCTTATTCATCAAAATTTGTATATATTCATCAAACTTGAAAAATCTACTTAAATTGACTTGAAAAATCTATTGATGTATACATAAACTTAGTGTTTGAACGAACGAAAGTTGTATTCATGGCGTTAATTATTATTAAGTATAAGTTAGCGTACGAGAAATCTAGTACGGGGACACTTTATATATGAAATCACTTTCGCAAAGCAGAGAAATATCGTTTTATAAAACGACCATGCTCTACAACGAGGGTGTTTCGCAATAACAGTAGCAGAGGTAATAACGGTTATTCGATATCTATTATATCGGAATATATTATATTAAACGAAGTAAACAAAATCTAATTATTCTTTTTTGACTCTATTGTTAAAACTTGAAAAAGAGAAATTATTACTATAATTATATTATGTGACCTCATAGATTTTTTTCACACTTTTATAAAATGAAAGAAATATGTGAAGAATTGACGTAAAGTAAATTGTAAATTTTTCGATAAGAATGAAGCATATGAATTTTTTTGTTGCGATATTTACAATATTTCTTATTACGTCAAGTCTTTACTTTACATCGGTTTAGAATTTGGCTTATTTGATAGCAATATCATCTAGATCTAGAAATATCATCATAGAATAGCATTCGGTTTATCTATCTCTACATCGTCCTTTTATACTGTCGCTTCCGTCGTGGTAGTGGTATTTGTATAAATAGGTATTGGATTTTCGGTCCAACGGGGTAGGGCAGTTACATACTTGTAAAAGCTCTCGCCAGGACATTCTGTGTTTCGCGCTTGTCGATGGCCAATTGCGTTGTAATCTTTGCTTATCTTGCCGAGTGAAACACCGCAAGCTATCAGCGCGTTTAGCGTCTTCAGAGCGGCCGTATTCGGGAGGAAGTCTGCGAAATCATATATTTACACACGTCAATGAACTTTGACGCAAAAGTGTAATTACTTTTTTTGCGGAATGATATTTCAAGGAGAATGTTCTGCTCATTGTTTTATATATTACAAAAAATATATTCTTTTTGTAAAATTAATTTGAAATAGTATTAGACTTTCAATAATAAATTTATCATTTTTGATTTATGTAATTCAATAATTCTTGATTATAAGAAAAAATACAGGTCTACATAAAAATTTTGCGCGATTTGATCGCTTACAAATTTGATGGATTTTGTGATAATTATTAATTTTTTTCTCGATTGTTCTTTTATCTATTTTATCAATATTTTAACAATGTATTATATATGTAATAACGTACGTACCGGTAAAATGTCCTATAATGCATATGCCGATGCTCTGAGTGTTATATCCAGGTGCGTGCGCGCCAACGTAATTCCATCCGCGACCCTCGTAGGCGTTGCCGTCTTCGCCAATGACGAAATTATAGCCAATATCCCACCAGCCCCGATCGTCTAGGTGCAAGTTTTGATAGGACCTAACTATCGTGGAACATGTTTCCTCGTCGTAGCAGTAGCTACGTATGCCGCCGTGATGGATCACCACATACGGTGTCGGTGTCACCGGCAGAATCTCGAAATCTAGACGCTTTCTGGCTTTCCATTCCTTTCGGCTGACGATCCTCGGGCATTCTAGACAGTCAGAAATCGACCGTCATTCTCGATAAAATATTTTCGAATTTGTGAACTCTTTGAATGTACTTAGAAAATTGCCATTAGTTTGCCGTTGAAAATTAATGAAAGATTAATGTGAAAATTAATGATTATTGTGTAAGGTGTGATGTGTGCGACTCTTATTTAATTTTCTGTAAAATCTTCTGTAAAATTGATAACATATTTATAAAAAATAGTGTTTTTTTTGCATTTGAAGAATAGAAAATGTAAAACTTCACGAGGATAAATTAGGCATGTGTCTTCATACTGATTTCAAAAGAGCGCTCTTATAACATGCTTGGCAGGCCTCAATATTTTACTTGAAATCAGTGAGTCAGCTAACGAGTTAACAAACACGTTTTCAACAATTAGTTGCGCAATTTTAAATACTTCAACGCGCAGAATGATTTTATTTACGAGATACGACGTTAGATTGCCCACTAGCGGATTCTTGAATCGTAAAACAATTTCGGTCCCGCAGATGTAAAAACTCTCGTAGGAAAAATACAGAATAGTCAATTAGCAAATTGTGCTTGTTACGAAGAGTCTATAATTGTTCACTGCTATGTCGCACGTTTTATTTCGAACAGCATTACTTTTTCTTGATACGTCAAATCATGCAAATAAACATATTGATAATATACGTTTAATAGAGATTTACGGATTATAAACTTGCCGTAAAATTTGTGGCACTTTTTCTTTTTATAAAGTATCTTTAAAAATTCTTTTTTGGCGTTGCAAACAGATTTTCGAGCATCAGCGTGACTGATTTCGTATTACTAATTTTTGCAAAGTTACATGAACTTTTTATGTCACTTCTATGAATTTTTATAAAGTTAATATGACATTACATTAGCATTATTTTTAAATTGCTCGTGATAATTTCGTACTAGAGTTGATTAGAAACACATTAGTTTAACACATTAGTTATTGGTGCATGTATAAATGTAGATACAATCAGCAAAAATTGCGTGATTATGGTGCATTTACGTATTTAGAGATTTTGACAGAGACTTCACAAGACTTCACTATACGATTCAGTTTTTATTGATGCTTTAATTTGCATATAAATTATTCATGATAGTTAAGTATGCACTAATGAGAAATCAAAAGAATGTGAATCTCTTTTAACTCGCCGATGGCTGAATAAAACTTAAAATTTAGCGCGAACATTTATCAATTTTGGTGATATTATTTATGTAACTATGCAACTGATATGTAATATTATACGTAAAAAACAATAATGCAAGAGTTCACATTATCAAATCGATTAAAATAAATAACATATAAAATAAGTATTTATTTCGATTTTTTGTTTTGAGATTTTGAATTGTGCGTACAAAAATAATTAAAAGAACTGTTAAAAACTTTGTTTAAAAAGTTTATAAGTATTAAGAATAATAATGTCAAATAGTTGTTGTTTTAGATAAGACTTATTCTCTGAAAATAATACAGAACAAAGTTGCTCTTTAAACTCGTCATATACAATTTTTATGGTTAGCAATAGCGCAGTTTTTTTTCAGTGAACAATTAATTTTGAAAATATGCTATTTTTCCTTATGCAAAGTTTTTGATTTTTAAATAACTTACTGGTTACATTGTCGAAATTTGTATCGTTGATGGGAGAGGCGAGTACTGCATGTTCAAAGATACCTAAGAAAAGTACCAAAGCACAAAACGCAAACACTTGGATGTGACAGGAATACAACTTCATGGTGATTAACACCGTTATAGCGCGTGTCAAAAATGAAACTGAATGGCCATCGTGTAACCGCGTCCGCTTTTAAACGAAAAACTGAACGGCAGCTGGGAAGTCCCTCCGAGAAGTTGCGCGTTGAATCAACCCGATTTGGTCCCTTAACCCTGTCCCCTCTTCGGTGCGTTGCGACAACAGCAACGATAATAGCGATTAGGAGAAGTGACCTGCATAATCTTTAAAAATTCGCATACTGTATTGATTCTGATAATAATCTAAACACGGAAGGGTGTGGAATCGTTATCCGTGTGATAAGAAATTGAACATGATAAGTGCATGATAGACCGCGATTGACAAGACCGGCAAAATAATTGAATGGTGTTATGTGACAGTACATACATTACACCCTAATTTGTAAATGTCAATAGAGATATAAAATATTATACAAAATGATACAAAAACGTATTAAATTATATTAAAGTATTATGTTGAATAAATATATTAAGCAAATAATATTTCTCGAAAAATATATAACATAGTAAATAATTTATTATGCGGGAAATAGATAATTTTTATTTACTTGAGCGTGGCGCATATAATATAGCTATCTACAGATTAAACGTGCTAAGTTTACAATTATCTGTAGTAAGCGGAATTGAGAATATAGAAATGTCTTGATTAACACGATTGATCTTATTAATTTAAATGTTTTTTAACGTTTACTTCATGACATGACTGATTCGCACGGCGTTATCAAGTATCACTGAATTTCTGATAAATAACAGTCATTGAAAGTTACATAGGTCAATCAATCATGATTATCATACGATTATTATACGAAAAACATAAAATTCTACCGAATAAATTGGCCTTTCAGATACTTTATTTGATCACTCATTTTGATCGAATTTCATTAGTGATCGAATCTTTGATAAAAGTTATTAATGTGAGATTTATTATGATGGTCGCGTATTTTTTTTTATTTTTACGTGTGCATAATATTTCTTGTTATTCTCATGCGACATGCATGATATCGTTATGTTTTAATATCGAGAATGTCTAGAATATTTAATATTATATAAGATATTTGTCTTTCAATGTGTGAGAGTGCATTGAATGATATAATTTATACAAACGAATATCATCAAATTACCTTTGCGCAATCTGAAACATTATTTAAATATAAGTAATTTGCGTATATGCGATATATTTTACAAAAATAGATAATATATAATTTAACAAAAAAAAGAAAAAAATTAAATGAATGGAAAGACATAAAAATAATGAAAATACGAAATTATCGTCACAATAATGAAAAAAATTGATATAGATGAAAGTATTGTTCTTTTTATTCATGAGTCATTCTATATAGTTAGAATTATTTTCTCTCTGTTTCACGGTAAACAAAATATTGTACCATGTTGTCAGGCGTACAAATTTCTTTGTTTTATTTCTTCTCAGAATAATAAACGTCAATGTATAACGAGTGGATAAATCATTACCCGTGTCGGCCAGTGATTTCGAGATAATGTCTTATTCATGGAAGGCGCCGAATGGCTGCGAACACTTTTGTTTGCTCGTGTGCTGTCATAGTTCTCAACTAATTGTTTCCTACGATCGTTTGTCATTGGCGTAACTTCGGTGACACGATGTTTCGGCCTATTTTGCTTTCTGCATCGATAACTCACATTATATATCGCGAAATTGTTAAAGTTAAGACAATTTACTACAAAACTCGCATAGGAATGCACAAATGCACAAAATATGAACATTGTGATAATATTCCATAAAAGGTGCAAGAGGTAATACGATTATTGTCAAGGAAAAAAACGGAGTAGTAATTACCGTCTCAAATAATCTTTAGTCATCCAGGCAGACATAAACAATGACGGCATTATCAAAAGCAGCGGGCGATTGTGTCAAGGAACTGCGAAATGTACAATTACTACTAGTTAGTTGCATGAAATCGTTACAAAAAGTATTGCAATCGATTGCAATAATTAGTCGATAAGATATAGTAGTAATCGATGTTAGGTGCAATAAGCTATGCGTCATGCAAGTCATAGTATTAATGATTGAATTGTTCGAGCTATAGCTGCAGATAATTTCTATTATTACGTAACAATGCATAAGCGAGTGACGTTAGAAGAATTTAATCCAGACAAACACAAATTCTTTGTGTTTTCTAATAATGATGAATTATATGAATGATAAAATTTTGCTTGAAAAATTAATACTGCCAAAAGGAATATTAATAATTAGATTAGCAAAAAAGAAATAATGATGACCATGTATTAATGACATTTATTCAGAATGTTATCGGAGTATCGAGTAGCGATAAGTTATTAAAGAATTATATCATATAGATAAAATGCATCGTTGCAGGAAACTAGGAAAACATTACTCGTGGAATAACTTGACACTGTAAGTTGGCCTTGAATGCTTTATCGTGCAAATGTACTATCGCAAGATAAATTTTTTTTTATCAACAAAAAACAAATGTAACGATAGTTCTATGTAAACGATCAATAATTGGAATTAAATTTTGGAGCATTCTTTAATGCACACACTGGGCATTGCATTAGAACATTCTAAAATTGACATTAAAATTTTATTGTGTACTCTTAATGGTTTATAAAATCTGCATTCAATATACATACGTAAAATTATGAGAAAGTACTAGAAAGTCTTTTGGAGATTTTCTATTGATTTATTCAATTCATTGATTACGCCTCTTTGAATGTTTCATATCTTCAGACTGCTTACCTTTTAAATACAATTTAATTTTGGGGCCTAAAAATTAACTAGAACTAAATCTGACGAATAGCTGATTATTTTTTATTTCCCAAGATTAAACTACGGCTAAAAGAAGCAATTTGAAAATGTTAAAAATTCTCAAAAAGGTATAATCAATAAATTGAAAAAGATATTCAAAATGCTTTTCAAACATTTCGTTGCTTTAACGAATGTTAAACGTATGAAAATTATATATAACGTTATGAATAATGCAATATTTCTATAAGTTATTGCTGTTTTTATTGAATCAGTCTCGCAACTTTCAGTGACACTGTGTTATTAATATACGATTATATCGCAATTTACCATTAAACTCTATAACATTCCGAGAAAAAAATGGTATAATTGGTCAGATGTGAATGTATATAATTAGTTATGAAAAGATCTGATAACATGTGTAATTTTATATGATCATATAAAATATTATATGTTATATCAGATCTTTTTATAATTAATTATATATATTTACATCTGACCATATTATACTATTTTTTCTCGGGATACTGGAGTGAGCCTTGAAGGAGCGGAGATGGACCACTGTGGAAAGAGAGAGTTTAATATTACTGGAAGGTATATGTCTCATCTCCAATACATCATCAATCAGTACGGTATAAATATGGAAGTAGTACAGACACCTCTCGGCTACTATTGCTCTCCTTGGCCCGAAAACTATACATTGGCTCTTATGGGAAGGCTATCTCCAGTATGTTATAGAGCTCAATGTAATTTATGTACTAATATTTTTTGTATCAATGGTTTATAATATATTTTGCAGCATATATTTTCTAAATTAAAAAATTAGGCAATATTTCTTTTAAAATTGCGAGTATCAGAAATTTCAGAATTATGTACTAGGTGTCGTAATCTCTAAGAAAGTCCGAGATCGTCTAACAGGTTTGTGGCTTATTATCGTAGATATGGTGAAAGCCGAGAGAAACCTAACAGTTTTCGTGGTACGCTTACCGACAGAGTATTGAAGAATATGTGTGACTATGTAGTTTTGAGAATGGATACAGATAGTAGTACCAAACAGACATTGTTGAGCATTCCATTACAAACGCTGAAATGGCCGCTTTTTGGCTCCTCTAGTGTTGATAATCTGTAATATTTTAATTTTGTTGAACGTGTAGCGTAATTTTATATCTGAAATTTTGTGAAAAATGTTTAAATTTGGATTTACGAAAGATGCAGTAGGCGCTGACAAAGGTATAACCAATATCCTATTTTTGAACAATTTTTATATAAGAATTCAAGACACGTGAGACTTCGTAATATAGGTTAGAATTATTGAATTGTTTTCCCGCGAAAATTCAATACTATTTTTTTCGTGATACTTGTTCACAAGAGAAAGTTCAATTGTTCAAATAATTTTAGAGGATAATGAAGAGGAGAATAAATTAGAATGGATACCTGCGTTCAAATTTGAAATCACACCTGAGCAAATCGAAGCAAAATATGAGTTCTCTTATTATAGGGAAACAAATATATTTTCTGATTATAATCTAAAATTAATTCGCTCCGATAAAGTAGTGGAAAATTTAGACAAGCAAAACTGTCAGAATATTATTGAGGCTGAGTCACAACATTCCGATCTTATTCCAGCAAAATACGAAGGTGATTTTTATAAATTAAAATATTTATTTAAAATTTAATGATTAAAAAATTAAATTTTTTATTTAAGTGCCTAAAATTTGATTGATATATATAGATATATTAAAAATTAATTATATTATATTAAGGTGGCTTAAAAATTTGGGAATGTACATTCGATTTGGGCCAATATATTCTAAAAGAAGAAATTAAATTAAAAGATAAACTCGTCATGGATTTAGGATGTGGTGCCGGATTGATTGGTCTTCTCGCTCTTCTCAAAGATGCTGTTGTTCATTTTCAAGACTATGTTCGTATAATTGATGAGCAAAACATAAGAATCACGTTAAAACACACGTCTCTCGTGATTAACGAAATAATTTTTGTAGAATGCAGAAGTGTTAAAGTCCGTAACTGTTCCAAACGTACTATTGAATTTTGACGATCGCGCGAGTATATTGACGAGATGCGAATTTTATGCCGGAGACTGGGCTTCCTTCGTGACGTTATTCGACGATGACGAGAGTAAAAAGTACGATTATATTTTTACAAGCGAGACGATTTACAATTCGGACAATCATAAAAAGTTGTATGAAATTTTTAAGAGGAGATTGAAAATTAATGGCATTGTGTGAGTACATTATATTGTATAGGTTTCTTATTTTTATACAAACAGCTTCAAAATCATTATTTCTATTAGATTCGTGGCTGGAAAAACTTATTATTTCGGCGTGGGTGGTGGAATGAGGCAATTCGAGAATCTCATATTGAAAGATGGTTGCTTTGATGTCAAGTCAGTGTGGAGAAGTCATGATGGTGATTAACGATAAATAAAAATATATATTTTTAACTAGTTTAACAATATAAATTATATATATTTCAGGTGTCAACAGAGAAATTCTAAAACTTATTAAAAAATAGCATCAACAACAGGCCTAATATATAACATTATTGTCTTCAATGAGATATGAGGTATCTATTCGGAATGTTGTAATCCATACTGGCGTCTTTTGTATCGAAATCTATTTGATTTCATTCTCATATGTGTGTGCTTAACTGATAAAAATTCCCAACTTTATCCCTTGTTTGTATCAATAAAATTGATTTTTTTTTATGGCGAGAGTCTTTCATAAACCCATCCGTCTTTTCCTTCATGCACGAGAATATTATCGATAATTTCGTTTGGTTTTGGACGTCTAAAACGAATCCTATCGTGTAGACGATCACTCTGACCTTGCCAGAATTCTATGAAATGCGGCACGACAAGATAACCGCCCCTGAAATAAGATATCCAACATAATGAGACGAGCAGTCTTTATAGATAAACGGTTCTAAATTTAAAAATATGAGTTTAAAATCCGTATAAATTATTGTATTAATATTGAATAACGAATCGATAGCGAATGATAACATCGTACATAACAATTTCAGAGCAGGAATTTTAATCTTTTTAATTTTATTCTCAGCAAATCTTTACATTCGGAATAATAAATAAAAAAACAATTTTTAATTAAATTTTTTAATTAAACGGTTTAATTTTTAATAATTTATCAATAATATAGTAATAATTTTTTACAAATTACGATGTTACTTACCAGCAGTCAGGTCTTTTAACTTGACCTTCTGGGAATTGCGCGAGCAGTTCTCTCTCTCTAATCATAAGAGTTTCTCTATTAGCGATCACTTTACTCTGGTTGCTGGCTATAGCCCCAATTTGACTCACATATGGCCGGCTTTGAAAATAGCGATCCGAATCTTCCGCCGAAGTTTTTTCCACGATACCTTCGATACGTATCTAAAATAATTGGTGATGACACGATTAAATATTATGATCAGAAAATAATTAATTAGAAAAAGAGTTATAAAGAATTATTTTTTCATAAAGACTTTGTATATGATTAGTGATTAAAATTGACATTAATAAAATGAATATTTACGGATCGTTTGAGAGGTTCCCAGTAGAAAGTCAGCGCAGCGCGTGGATTATTAGACTAAAAAGAAATCGAATAATATAATTTTTCTTCGTTTTCATAATATAAATGTCAATTGTCTCAACTTACAAGTTCGCGTCCCTTTCTACTATCATAATTTGTATAAAATTTAAAGCCCTCATTGCTATAACCTTTCAGCAATACCGCGCGCATGGACGGCACGCCATCTCTGAAATACAAAAATAACAATTATCAAATCACGTGAAAATTGTAAAAAAAATCATTTGCGGAATCTTCGCTGTTTATTAACATACAGCTTATTTCTCATTTTTCTTTTAAATGAATGGTATTCTTTAATTGATAATTAGCAAAATACTGCTAATTATATTTACATGCACATTTTTTTTCAAAGCACACATGACGAGATGTATTGTACATACTTTATTTTTTTATGTGAAGATGTATTTCAAAGTTGAAAAATCCAAGAAGAAATGTTACCTCGTTGCTGTTGCGACGAGCATTGCGTTTGGTTCTAAAATTTGCGGAGTATTGCATGCTTGGTCAAACCATGCTTTGAATTGGCCAATAGGTTCTTTACTAATTAAACTATTTTCCGTAAAAGTTTCACTTCTATCCCTGTATTTTATTCGCATGTCTGGAAGAACATGTGTAAAAATTATAGATAATTTATATAATTTTGGAGCAGATTAAACGAAAGAATTTCAAAGTACTTTCCAGTACTAATTTTTAACTTTAATTTTTATTTTATCGATGGAGTAGCAGGAGGATCTCAAGCCAAAGACGATTGTGCTTTTTAGAATCTTTTATTTTAACAAATGTTTCTCATAAGCAGCAAACGTTTCGGCCGATCATTCAGCCATTTTCAGTGCTAACGTTACAAATCTGTTTAGTAGAAAGATTTAGTAGAAAGATATAAACAAGACTATCTCGCAATCACATTTGTCACTTTACTTCCAAAAAATTTTTAATAATGACGAATTGAAACTATAATCTTTCTTGATATGTGAGAACATTCTGTGACATTCTGTTAACACATATATAAACAAGACTATCTCGTAATCACATTTGTGACTTTATTTCAAAAAAATTTTTAATAATGACGAATTAAAACTACAATCTTTCTACTAAACAGATTTGTAACGTTAGCACTGAAGATGGCTGAATGATCGGCTGAAACGTTTGCTACTTATGAAAAACATTTATTAAAATAAAAGATTTTAAGAACCACAATCTTCTTTGGCTTGAGATCTTCTTGCTACCCCATCGGTTTAATTTTGCGAGCCTAAACTTTAAGTTTTTTATTTTATGTTACTATTGATATGCGATTAATTATTACTTATTACGGAACATTCGTGCAATGAGTATTATAAGTATAACTGAGAGGAATGTGTGATGTAACATGCAGAAATAAATCTCAATAGCAAATACTGAACTAAACAGATGTGATGTATAAATATTTAACATCACATATATAATCGCCGAATGTTTTGCTCCATTTTGGATCTTTCCCAGCAATAAATTGAAGGAAAAACATTAGGAATACATATGGTTTAAAGAAAACACATCGCAAATAAATCAAAAATGCACGAAAAAATTTTGTATTTTCGAAAAAATTGATTTTGAGAATTAATTAATATTTTAAATTATAATATCATAACTGTAAATTAAGATAATACAGTTGTGACAACCATGAGATATTGTAAGAAATAATAATCTATTACACGTTATTGTACGAGACTGACGATTGCGACGGTTATTGATTTACCTCCTATGTCGGCGGTACAACTCTCGTTCTGGTGCGACATGGTACTACAAACTCGTATGCCTCAACTGCTTGACAACGAAAAAGCTAACCTACTTTCATCACGAACGGAGTGCAACTGAATGCGACTGGTACAAAACGCGCATGTTGAAGAGCATAGCGCACCTTGTCGGCGCAGCAGAACTGAGGAGAAGCAAGTGGAACTACTATGTTATCTCGAAGTTATAAGCTGACTGCCGATACTTTATCATGTGACAGATTTACCCAGTGATGTATGAAACAATTTGGAACACCTTGAGACAAACTGATTTTCAAACACTTTCTGTTTGAGAAAACTTCAACTTAGAACTTAAGAAAATTTCAAGAGTTACATGAACTAATGTTAGCATGAATTATTATTAGCATTATTTTTAAATCGCTCGTGATAATTTTATACTAGCGTTGATGCTAGTTAGAAACTTTAACACACTAGTTATTGACGTATGTTGTAAATGTATATACGATTAGTAAATACCCAGATAGCACAGATACATTCTAAGAATGTTTTATGAATATTTTTTGAAAACTTTAGAATATTCTCAAATGATACGTACAAAGTATAAGTAACGTTCTAGGAATATTATCAGCACGTTCAATTGAGACTGTTTTTTAATTCTAAGAAGGTTTATAGAATGTTCTACCGAATCATCATAGAATATTCTGAGAATACAATAGGAATATAGTGAGAGAATATTATAGGAAGATCTATATACCTATATAGGATGTACAATTAGGTACGTTTTTTATTGCTGAACTGAATTGAACTAGCTGCACTAGTTCAGAGTCTATCTTCTTTACTGCACATTAGAAAAATAAAGGTAGACTCTGAACTAGTGCAGTCAGTTCAGCTATATGACAGAATAATTTTAAATATCAAATAAACTTAAATAAAACACGTTAATTACGCATTAAATAGTAACTTTATTTAATTATACTTTAAACATGTAATCGTAATTTAAACAAATATATATATATGAAACTCTGATATACTTATTCAAAACTTAATAAATGACAATTTTTTTAAAGAAAATGTAACACCAAACATAATGTGTGCCATTCTTATTCAGATACAAAAGATTTCATCTTGTATAACAAAAACATTATTTTTTTAAATTAAACTGATTATATGAGAAAAACATATTAGAAATAAAATTTGAAAAATAAAAGAATTCATTGGTGTCCACAATCCTCCGAGTGTGACACAATAATTCTCCTTACAACCTTTTCTCTAAAGGTAAAGAGTGTATAAACATAAAATGCTATTTCTTATATAAAGACTTATACACGTATAAAAATTTTACGCTTTTTTCCTCTAAAGATTAATAGTGTGATACGAACATATAAATGCTATGTGATTCTTATATAAAGACTTATATATTACGTATAACAAAAATTAAACTAATTATATAAGAAAAACATATTAAAAATAAAATTTAAAAAATTTTTAAAATTCGTTGGTATTCATTGCATAATCCCTCGGAGTGTGCACGATTCTCCTTAACCTTCTGGAGTGTGATACAAACATAAATGCTATTTCTTATATAAAACTTATACGTATAACAAAAACTTTGCGCTTTTACGCTTTTAATTTAATTGGCTGTATGAGAAAGATATTAAAAATAAAAGAATATAAAAAAAATAAAAATTTTATCGGTGTCCACAATCTACTATTCTCTTCTTCTTTGCATAACTCTTATCGAGCTCTGTGTTCTGACACAACACAATAACAACTGTAAAAACAATTATAAATGAAAGTAATTAGTAATGTAATATATATTCATATATAACGTTATTAATAATAATATAATACAAATAGTAACCTTTTTATAATGCAACTGTCTAAATAGTCAGCCTTGGCTTCTTTAAAGTCTTGGTTTCTTTTTCTTGCCTTTCTTTTGCTTTAACTAACCATAATTTAATTACTTTTTCAATATCTGCAAGTGAGGTTGCATGTATTTTTTTACTGCAGCTATAAACATTTAACAACAAATTATTATTAAAAATTTATAATATTATAATAATTTGTAATATGTGAATGCATACATACTTAAAATTGTGGATGTAACATGAAGTATCGAAAAATTTTTTTTTCCTTTAAAACCAACCCAACTGTATGTTTGAGCGATATTATCCGAAAATAATTTTTGCAAAATTCTTTGTGTCATACTTTTGTGTGACAGTCCTCCTATTTCTATCAGTTCTTTAACCTATCAGAAATATTAATGTTTAACAGAAATCCACACAAAATTACAAAATAGCATGAAAATGTTTCTACTTACGAATTGGTTTGCATGCTTTTTATTCGTTAAATACTCCTCTAATTCGTGCATTTCTGTTTCAGTTTTTAATGGAAATTCAAATTTATTGAAAATTGCATTATCTTCTTCTATTGACTTATTGACTTCTTTATTTCTATTTTCCATTAAAAGATTCATGTCTTGTTGCACTTGTTGTATACGGAAGTTTATCGAATGTAACTGTCGCAACACTTGTTGTTGGAAAGCAAACTCTGAAAATTATTTAACAGAATTGAGAAGTAGAATGAGCCAAATAGATTTCTAATATAATTTTTCTTTAATACAAATTTTATTGAAAATTTGTATTAAATTATATTAAATTGTTTTTATGAATAACGTAACTTTCCAATCCTAAATTAATATTTTATTAATGCTTTGTTACTGTTTCATATATCTTACCATTAGTACTTTTATTTTCATTAATATTATTATTCTCTTTGTTTAT